GTCACATCTCATTGCATTACTCTAGCTATTATAATAATCTGAGATGTATTACTAGCGAAACTGGCTTCCCTTTTCTCTCTTGTACCGGTAAGTCTTTCAGTCTGTTTCATTGACAGACTTTGCCACCATATCTGAACTAAAACCTTCTTATTCTCTACAGTAAGGAAATTACATAACAGAAAGAGTGAGACAAAGGGGATTGATCCATATTCTAGAGAGTGTAATAAGTCAACATTCAAAAACAGGTTGCCATGTTGTTTTCACCAAGCACTACATAGCACAATAAATTTGTCCATCCTATTCTCCTTCCTCTTGGCCAACACAACAGCTATTGTTTTCTGTCCACTTCACCCCGTCCCCTCATACTATTTGCATGATTGTGAGCCTGTACATTCATCAGCGTGCTCCTCCATACTGGGATCATCTTATTGTTGAATTCTGTTCATTTTCTTCCAGTTATTCACACATGATTGTCCGAGCATACTGCAGAATAGTCCAAGAAATATTCTTTGAGTGAGTCAATTTGTACAGTAGCAGAAATAAAACTGCATACAAAGATATGAGGCATGAAATCTAGAAACATCTAGTATGCAAATATATATGCAAATTCACAGCTAGGCACACACATGCACTCATATAGGAGATAATCATACAGTTATCCATCTAAATTAACCAATCACTGCACAAGGATCATTTAAGCTTTGACTAAATAGCAGAGGATAATGATGACTGAAAACCAGCTTCTTAGCCACCACCATATTCAAAAGCACACACGCGCGTGCACACACACACACACACACACACACACACACACACACACACACACACCAGCCCTCACAAACAGGTTTCATCATTGAGATGAAAAACACATAGCAGGACATAATATATACACATGTAGGCTGCACATGCAAACAACAGAGATGAGCTGACGACCAGAAAAACACACATTATTTGATAAAAATACTACAGTGTAATACAGTTTTAGGATCATCATTATCACAATGACCAACAGCAAACACAAGAGGCAGCCAATCCAACTCCACTCACTAGAGTCATGCTTTTAATACGCACTTTATGCTACCATATTTAAATTAACTCTCCATAGGGGTGGTTTGATGACCTTAACGAAGGCCAGTGGCAATTAAGTTGTCCTATAGTGCAATCTCAGGGTAAAAAGGGCTTCAGTAACCCTGACACTTTTCTCTGCAGCCACATCCTCCAGATGGTCCTGAGGAGTGTTCTTAAAGCTGGGGTGCAAAGTGTTTGTCTCCCGCTTCTGGTATTGAGAGTAGCTATTCTTATGGCCAGCCCACATTGCCTACCTCTACCTGTAGCACAAGGGCTGCTTACACCAGCTGTGTGGCTGGAGCCTTAGGATTTTCCACCATACATTAGCTTCCACCATACTCCTAACTGCTGCTCTGTCCCTATGTTCCCTCCCCCCTCCCTGCCCCCTTTGGCTCTGAATGGTTGACATAAAACACATCACTTCCAGTGTGCCAGCATGGGAAAGTTGCCACGGACAGAAGACACTACAACTCCAGTATACAGGGAAATACAGGGAGCTTTCCCTAGCTGCAATAGGCTTACTCAGCATTGAGTGAACTTATCTGGCAGGGGCTTGAATGTTCATTTCATTCATTTATATGCAAAAGTCCTGCACTCCAGCTTTAAGGAGGCATTGTGACCACAAGCCCTTCAAATTTTGAATTCATTGAGGTTTAGGATATTTCAACCAAAGCAATCACGCTATAAAATGTAATAACAACACCTGATTACAACCGAACACACACAAAGACACAAAGTCACGAACACCCACGGCACGGAGACGCACACATACCGTCCTGAGAGTCAGCAGAGTGACTGAACCAGGCAACCTTACAGGTCTTCTTACCCAGGTGGGCTGGAGACACTCCTACCACAGACAGCAGTGGCAGGATACCAAAACAAGACGACAGCATGCAAGAACAAGATGGCAGAGGGTGAGAGAGAGAGCATGCAAGACACATGTAGTGTACACACGCATCAAGTTTGCCCCTGAGATGACAGGAAACACGCACAAATGTGCAGAGGAAAAGACAACATGTGATACATATACATAAATAAGTAAAGAACTAACACACCATTCAGATCACGGCTCATGTACGCTCACTCATGCTGTTACTAAAAACAGTGAAAATCAATATAATAAATGACATCTACTACTCTCTGTCTTCATATGAACACACTATTCATGTCATACATCACTGTTAGGCCCCTGTAGCTCTTCACATAAAGATGGGATGATAGATAGCCAAGTGGAAAGGTGTGTGGTCTCCGTATGAGTGTGTGGTCACTAGCATGACTTGTTCACGTTGTGAAATCCCATCTGCTCTGTGTCCCAGATACCCTCTCTGTCACTCACACTCTCTTTATTTCTATTTTCCCTTCCATCTCTTTCTCTGCTATCCTCTCCTCTATTCTCTAAGTCTCCTATCCCTTCTTGGGACGTGTGTGTGTGTGCTTGCGTGCGTGTGTGTGTGTGTGTGTGTGTGTGTGTGTGTGTGTGCACTGGTCTATGCAAAATGTCCTGGGCAGCAGGGACAAACCGCCCTCATTCATCTTCCCAGAGGAGGATCCATCCATCGAGGAGAGAGGGAGATGGAGCAATAAGAGAGCATGTGACTTGATTTTCCACCTTCACAAACAGAAGGATCATTGATCTTTCTGATGGAGAACTTCTGATCATATGTATCAATCATTTGTCATCTTAATCTAAAGGCCTGAAGCCCAGTTCAGACCAAAGATTCGCGATGAGACAAGTTGAAACTGTGAACAGTGAAAACAAAAGTAAAACGACCTGAGCTTCAGGTGGATCGTATTCATAATAAATACACCACAATAATTCAAATAACCAGCCCGGATTAATCAGTCAATGAGTATGTGGGTGTGACATGCGCATACAGCATGCGGCAGCAGCGGCCCACTGTCCAATACTGACACACTGTGAGGACAGAGACCGACATAAGTGTCAGCAGCCGCAGGGATGTAAATGAAACAGACTCATCACTCAAGGGGGACGGAGGGATGTTGTCAGAGAATGCCACAGTAAATGAACACGCCGTCTGCTCACAGTTTGGGGCCAGCTGACTTCGCTACAAGCGGACTGGCTGTTGAAACAGGTGATGTGTCTTGTGTTCTGGTGACTTGGCAAGCTGAGTTGCAGGTGACACCATCATGAGCTGAGGTGGGCCAGCTCACACCACTGCAACTTTTCTCTGCAACGTTCTAAATTGATTTCATCTTGTTGCAAATCTTTGGTCTGAACTAAGCCTAAGTTCTGCCATTTTATGGACACCTGCAAGCTAGACCAGGCAGTTAACTCACGCTGCACTGATTGATACACACATGTCATACGCCACTCTCTGTATGTCATCTACAAAACACACCCTCCAAATTTGGCGGTCTATTTAAGCTGCAAAGTCTTCCCAGCTCTCCCTTTGCACTGTCTATTCTGCTGCTGCCCTGCCCTAGCCCAACCTCCACCCCAGCATCCACCAGCAAGCTCCTGCTAAAGGGGGCAAATATGTCATCATCACTCCCCAATATCTCATGTAAACATATCTGCTGGGAGCGATCTTTTAGCGTTTACGTTGGACTACCCTAGATCAAGCACTTACACATTCTGTCTTGTTTTCTCTACAGCTAACTGGAGCTTGTTTAGACCTCATACAAAATATCAGCGATGCAGAACTTGAAGGAGAAGAAGCATCTCAATATTCTGATGTGACATTTCACAAAATTGGCCCAACTGGGGGCCACATACTGTATTTGTTTGTTAATGTGCCAGCCACTGCTGATGTGTTTTTGCCACACTGATTGGCCCAGGGGAGCGCAACGCTAACAGGTGAAAACAAGTAGATTTGTTACAGATTAGCCACAGGGGTTTTGTGCCTTATTTTCATGTAAATTGGGTCATTGCTCATTTGACCATGGTAATTCCTTGAGCTCCACTGAAAGATTAGATCATCATTTTTTTTTCCTTTCTTTCGTCTTGGCAGTCATCAGTGTTTCTGTGAATGAGCCACAGCGCTCTGTAGAAGATAAGCACACTGTGTGCAGAATGCATGCTCTGCCTCTGCATATTTAGTCCTCATCATTCATTCATTCATCATCAATGTGAACAAGCTGAGCTCCAAGCATCTATAAAATAGTGCATACAGTACATACTGTAGTACAGACACACTTTCTGTCCTGTGCCCTGCCTCTTTCTCACCATCCCTCTCTGTATCTTCTCTAAGATCAAACCTCCAGGTCAAAAGAGGCCAGTACTATACTCTCCCACCCCAGAAAATGTAGTTCAGTCCTGGGGAAACATGTACCATGTGTGGCTGCCTCTCTCTGGAGGGTATTAATCTGTGTGTGTACATTTCTGTCAGAGCACAAATACACACGTTCCTAAGGGCGTATACCTACAATATGTGTGTGAGACTTTGCATAAGTGTGTGTGTGTTTGTTGTGTGTATGTGTGTGTGCCCAGAGGCTATTAGCTGCAGTCTGACACATTCCACTAATATCTAAACAGGTTTTAAACCTCAGGAGGGTTCTCAGCCAAAGCAAGCAGACAATATTAACATCCTCTCAGTCTGTCAGTCAGTCACTCTGTCAGTAAGTACGCTGTTCATTCACTGACTGTGAGACACGTGATGGAGACTGCGGGGAGCTCACTACTTATAGACCAAACCCTAGATCTGACATGAACACACGCACAGTTAACCTCACAACTTGTTGGCTGTGCTGAGCAAGAACTATCTTCAGATATAAACACAATCAATCCAATCCACACAATGTTCTTACTGTACGCAAAACACAGGAAATCCTAACTGCCAACACCAACACACGATTCATACAAATCACACGCACACGACCACAGTCATCCTCAAGGCAAAGTGGGGTAAGTAAATAGATCATCACTTCCTTTTGGTATACACACACACACACACACACACTGTAGTACTCACGGTTTCTAGGTTTGTCATCATCCAAGCCCTCCTCTTCATTCTCTGGGTCGATGTCTTCAGCCTGAGTGATCCAGTCTAAATAGCCCTATATTCATACACGCACACACAGACAAAGAACACACTGATTGGTGAGCAGTACTGAGAGCAGTCTCCTTATCAACAAAACTGCAGTCGTCCGACATCAGTTTGGAATTTTATGAATGAAATGTTGCAGCATTCATTGTGTTTCTCAATGTCCCTGCACCCTGCTCTTGTACTGAACACTTTTAAATGATGTAAAGACATATAGTAGTTACAACTACAATATCTTAGTGTGATTTTTAAAAATCTTTTATGAGTTCACACTTATATTTTAGGTTTCTACTTGAACATGTTTACATGCTTTAATGTTAAAAAACCCCAACTTTTTCCGCATACTATCTGTGCTGGAAAACCTGTGTTCTCTTTCTTAATGCTCCATTTTAGAGCCTGTCTCTTTGAGGCCCTCTCCCAAAAAAGCCCACTCTGCTCTGATTGGTCAGCGTTTCACAGTCTGCTGTGTCTATGCTCTTGGCTCCTCTGCACCGTCACTGTAGCCAGGGAATGACTTTAACGACTATATAGCGGAACTTTCTGTTGTGGCAATTCAACATCTAACAATTCATTTCTGTTAGCATGTAACTACATAAAGCAGTGTAATGACTTTAATGGAGTGTAGTGTGCGACACCCCTCCCACCCATTGAACTCACCTTGGCCTTGAAGGCTATAGAAGCTGCCTCATGTTTTCACGCGATCAGTGATTACTTTTTACATACATTTATCCCATTATTTGAAACTTTAGCCACATTTATTATGAAAATCGGACATTGTAACACTGTATATATGACAAAAAATAAGGAAAAACATCATAGGTCCTCCTTAATGTATATACTTGACTGTCTCTTTCATTTCTTTTTTTTATCCTATCTGTCAAAATGTAACTTTCAAAAGTGCCTTTTATATGAAGTTTCCTTTGCTTTCTGTGCTCACTGCCTTACACCGAAAGAATTTTGTTTTTACCTCGCTTTGACATTTATCTAAATCACCTTTTTGCAAGCCTGGCCTTTATATACAGTGAATCTTAGTGGCAGGTGATGACTGTTACATCAAACACAGACAGAACAGCCTACCTTGAGGTCCTCCTCCAGTTGCTGTTTTTCTCTGAGTTTCTGGAAGTCACCACGCGCCTTGGCCTTCTCTCTTTCCTTGGAAAACTCTCTGGGAGGGGGGAGCAGGATGGAGGGATTGGGGGGGGGGGGGGGGGGGGGGGGGGGGGGGGGGGGGGGGGGGGGGGGGGGGGGGTAGGTCATTGAGGGGCGATAGAGAGAAAGCAGAAACAGAGGGAGGGAAAACAGAATCTGAAAATCTAGACTGAAAACAAATCGTGTGACAATACTGTGATAGCACAGAATAGCTTCAGAACAGGAAGGAGGGAAAACCTGCTGAAGAGAGAAAAAAAATGTAAAGTGAGGAGAGAAAAGCTCTGCCAAGGAGGCAAGGTGTTAATATGTAAATACAGATGAAAGCACACACAGGCAGACATGTTGGAGCTGGATTCACATCTCAAACAATTCACTATATCCAGATATATTTTTAAGCATCCAACAGATACTTAGCGTTCATTTTATATGTTGGTCAACATGATAACTTCTCCTTTACAGTATATGAAGACTATATGAAACAAGCTGCGCTGGCACTTATTGGATTTTATAAAATCACCTACACCATCAAACATTTCCAAATTGAATTGAATGATTAGAACTGATGATTCTAATCATTAAGCCTGATGCGAAGGTGGGAGCGTGAACTGAAACACCCCTACTGACTGACCAAATGTGATTTAGTCATAATGGGGCTAAGTTTTGTAATTCATGTGGATTAGTCATCTAATTGTTGCTGTCCCAGGGCAACAGGTCTCCTGGTGCCTCCAAGCCTGCTGGGAGTTGTAGTTTCACCAGCCCACCCCTGGGTCTCCTCCCAGTTGCAGTGTGCTTGGTACAGACCCAGAGGGAGGGACAGAGAGGGCATCCCTCACCAGCTGTACTGCCTCAGCTTGCTCCTGTCAAAGTGGAGGAGAGGCGGCTCTGCACCGAGGTCGTCCCGCATCACTGAGCTCCTCACCTTTTGTCTGCTACCTCATTCTTTCGGTCACCACCCAGAGGTTTTGACCAAAGGTCATAATGGAGATTTAAAGGCCTCAGCTTTTCATATAACGTTTGCAATTCTTCATTTGGGGAAAAAAAAAGGATTGAAGTGTGTAAATGTAGAATTAACATGTATGTCACAGGGTATGTGTGGGTCTGGTCCTCTCCTCTTGCATCCCCTGAGAATATTCCAACTGATTATACACCTGTCCACTCATGAAGAGGAGACAGATGATTGGCATACTGGCGGGCTGGGGGCTCTTTTGCAGGGTTGGTTTCCTACTTAACAGGTGTGTAAATGAGAGGAGGCAAGAAGTCAAACAAAGAGACGGTGTGCAGCTAGTTGGAGCACTGATAGAGTAACTGCGCTGAGGACAGAGCAGCAGAGCAGCAGAGCAGCAGGGGAGACACCTGATTGAGAGAGCAGCCTGACTAAGTAACGACCCCCAGCAACAGCGGCTCCGCAGCAGATTGTCGTGGAGTGCACCTGAGGATGACAGAGACAGACGAGAAAGGATGCGCTGCGGGATAAGTGGAGAGGTGAAGCTAAGTACCTCTCATCATTCTGCATGATTCCAGTTATGCTAGACCTCAAGACAGCCTCAGCCTTGGCTTTGCTGTGGCCAGGTGATCCTCTTTGTTCATAAGTTCGGAGTGTTCATTGGTTTGATTTACATTAATAATTAGCGACCCATTGCATTAAGAGAAGAGAACAGGCTGTGGCCTTGCTGTTTGTTTAATGCCTATCTGATGGGCATTAGCAGCCACTTTACTGTTTTGAACAGAGTGCTCCTTATTGAACAGCAAGATAAAAATACTAAACAGGGTTTCAACCTGTAACATGTACTTTCCATTTAATTCCTAACACCCCTATAGTCACTTTTAAGGAGCGATCTATCTTTCTTTACTTTATTCTTATAATACAGTATGATGCCTGCTTTTTTCAAGGACATATGCAAAGATGATTTAAGACAACTAAAATCAATGTTAGGAGAGTGTGAAATATTGAAATATTATGATGAAACCTGGTGAAATTACTTCCAGGTGTCAGGACAAAAGAAAGAATTAAGGAACATCTGATTAAACGCTGCACTTGGGGAAGGTCAAAGTCAGGTTGGAGCCAAAGGATTCATCTGGAGGAGAGCTGACAGGAGCTGGGAGGCTTGGGAACATCTGCAGCTAAAAAGTGTACAAATCCAGATTTAAAGGTCCATTGACAAGTAAACTTTGCTGTTGTGAATATTCTAAATGAGCAAATATCAGTGCGGCCTGTGGAGTTCCCTGCTTGTCAGTTATCTCGTACCTTGTCATTTCAGGTTTGGAAATTACAGCAAGAGACGTTTCACAGAATAGTCAACTATAAAAACCACAAGTCCACACTTTGCTTCATTGTAGACTAAACGTCAATCTGCGGTTTGAGCACAGTGCAGTAATGAATCAAAGGGAATGCATTTACAGGAGATATGCAGCTGGGAGCGCTGTGGGTAGGTGCTGTCGATAAGTCATAACTATGAGTTCAGATCGTCCTCTCATGGCCGAAGATGGATGTAACTTGGTTTGTTGTTGAATGTAGATTTTACTAAACAGTCATTTTCTCTGTTATGCCATTTTAAAGGCATGCTATGCAGAATTTTTCTAAAAAACTATGTCTGCCAATGCATAGACTCACACAGAAGTAATTCCTCTAAACCATCACGATGCCGTTGTATTTTTCTACAGACACTCTGCCTCAGCCAACACACGCCAACACACGCCAACAGTAAATTTGGGGTTGGTTTTTGTCAATCCTGTATAGGAAATACCTTTATATAAACAGAATTGAAGGTATCCAAAGAGGGAAAGACTCCCTCCATCCCCGCAAGAAAGTAGTCATGTTGTTTCTGCAGTCAAACAGTATCTCCAGCTAAATCAAGCCTGCTGGGGTTTTAGTCCAGTCAGATTACGGCTAATTTGTCAACAGCCTCTCAGAGCCAGTTAAGGACACTGCTCCTCCACGTACCCCCAGGTGGGTCCCACCTACATTAGTTAACCCTCTGCTGGCTATATTAGAGACCATTTGATGATTGTTATTGAGTGGAAAAAACAAAAAAATATCGCCTGTGATTGATCGACTATTTGACTACTTTTTGTGAGTAGTCCATGAATAGTCAACTTATAGCCTGTGGGCCTCATCTGGCCTGCAATAGGGTGCCAGGTGACCTGCCAAACATTTTCTAATTCTTAATTTGAAAACAATGATTAATAGTGGGATTTTTGTTTGTACCTCAAATGCAAATAAGGTGCCAGGGTGCATAACAAAGCATCGAAATGGAGCTTATTTACAAGAAAAAAAAGTGCCAAAGGAGGATCCTCAGGAGCCCCATCCGATGTCTGGGCTAAGCCTCAAATGTCCTCAAATCCTAGAGATGCCCCTGTGTACATCTGACCTGTGTGGGGATGCTGCTACTGAATTTGCCTTGTTTATTATTTTTATCTGATAAATATCATTAATGTTTGTTTATTAACTGGCCCCTTGCCTGCTGTCATTTTACAAAAGTGGCGCCTGTGCAAAGAAAGTTGAGTATCCCTAGAAACTACTAAAATGCAGCAATATTGAATGCCCTACCAGCTGCATATGCAATCTGTTTTTTTAATAATGTTCAATTAAGTGGAATATTCTGCAGCTATGAAAGTCTGAAAAAAGTTTCAGACTTACCTGAAAGTTCATCTGATATTATGCAATTGACACATAGATTTTAATTAAACAGGTCCCCTGGAGAACAAGACCAGGATCCATAATAAAACCATAGACTGTCATGTGCCATTTCACTGATTTTTACAGTCAGTCTATAGCCTGGAACAGAATTAGAGTGTGTGTGTGTGTGTGTGTGTGTGTGTGTGAGAGACAGATAGAGAAAGAGAGCTCTGTGAAATTTAGAGGAATGATGGAACAAATCACAAAGTCGCGCGCGCACACACACACACACACACACACACACACACACACACACACACAGATCAATGAGCATTAGGACAAACTGCTACTGTCTCCCTTGTCAGAACATTAGCAGGAGACCCAATCCTATTGATCTGTGTTTGTGTGTGCCATCGTGTGTGAGTGTGGCTGTGGGTGCAAAACTCTAAGGCATCACTCTCATTTTCTCCATTCCCATCATCTCATTTTTCTGTCCTATATTGCCACTGAATTCTGTTTCTTCCTCACTTTCTGTTCTTTTTTCTTCCTCTCTCCATTCTCCTTCAAGACAGCCTCTGTGCCTATTCTTACATTTACATATTACATCAAGTCCAGACAAACACAGTCACACCCGATGTTTCTGTCTCTACATCCGTCACTCTCCTTCTTCCTGTTTAGCCATTAGTTATTATGCCAATCTGAGACCCACACACACTCCATGGAGGAAGCAGTTGGTAAAAGGTCAGGCTGTGTAGTGTGTTGACAGCATCATTAGTCAGAAGTCAGACAAAGAGTCAGACAGCCAAACCCCCCAAGCTGTTTGGAACAGATAGACCTCTATTATTTTTCCCACAATGCCGCTGTCACATCGCTGCGGGTATCAAGAGTCAGATTCGGGTCAGTCAGTCAGGGGTGAAGCACCTCACTCCCCTTAAACCTGATCCCTACCCAAGTTCATCATGACCTACGGCACGTGAAGAGCCCAGCAGAAAGAGTAGAGGATAATGTGAAACTTTTCACACATGAGCTGTGATGTTTTTATACAACAAAACAAACCTGTAGTTAATTACGAAGATAATAATAACAATAACCATATGCTTTAAGACCTGTATGTGACATTTAGAGCAAATATGGCTTTATCTTTACATATCAAATCTGTACATGTGAAATGGTTTCAATACTTACTTAAAGCTGTATCAATACTATTAATACAACTTTCTTATTCTGTCTTCTCTCTGACAGCAAGATGACAAACACATTGTTGAAGCACCCTACAGCTCTCACTCACTCACAGTGCTATCTTTTCTTCATTTGTCTCATTCGCTGCGGTTGAATATACAGTGTTGTGGCACAGTTTTGCTTCTCTACTTGCTTTTTATTGCTTTTTGAATGTGTGACAATCTCAGAGGATTTTGAATGTGTGCACTACCACAAGAACAACATTGTTTTCATTAATGTAATTAAGTTTTAACTACTGTTAATGTTTACAGTCTTTCTGCTGTACTCTGCAACAAAGCAAGAAAAGAAAAGTCGCTGTTGTCATGTTATAGCCTTGTTATTTTTCTACTTTTGTACAAATGTTATATCGTATGCCCTCAATGTAAATTTTTGGAGAAGTTAAGCATGTTAGTGCAGGGCTGCCAGAGCTTTATATCTGTCCTATGGACAATAGTCCTACACACAAACAATCCCTGGAGGAAGATCAGCTCTGCGCTCAGGATTTCAGGTAAATGAGCTATGATATGGTGCTTGTTAAGGCTGCTTAGCAACCTCAGACACAACCTGCCGCTGCACTCTTGAAAGCTGTCACAGAAAAGGTACAAGAGTAGGACCCAGAGCCCAACCTCCTGTTTTCCAGGCGGTTAAAGACATTGCATGTGTATGGCCCTTTATTCAGTCTACGTTTTAACAGTTCTTGTTAAATTTAAACACCATCTACTGTCAAAAGCAGGAAGGTGACAGGAAAAAAAGAGTTCCCTTTCCCAAAAACAAACAGTAAAGTTCTCTCAGAACAACAGCATGAAGGCATGAAGGAGAAAGAGGGAGGAGTTAGTCTCAAGTGACCTTTAACCTTGCCCTTACCCGCTCAGTACCCCCAGAACCAAGTTTAGCACAAAGAAGGATCCGATGATGATTAAGGTGACAAAATACACCCAGGGCCACGTGTACCCTACTGCATCATTCACCTGGGTGGAGAGATGGAGGCATGGAGGAGTGGGACCAAGGAAATAGGGGGAAGGTAAAGACGGAGGGGGGAAGAGCAAGACGAGTAGTGAAGGCAGAGATGAAGGCAAGAAAGGAGTAATAAGGAATGTTAGGAGGGAAGGGAGGAGGGGAGGAGGGAAGGAGTTAGATCCTTAGTGAAAGTTCCCAACAGATGGAACTGCTTGCTGCTGCAGGATCCCTGCTGAGATTATGGTGCATTCATAGTATTTGTCAGTGTCACTTAGTGGGTTACATGGCAACTTATCTGACCAGCTCTACTTATTGTGGATTGGAAAATTAAGAGATATATTGTTTGATTAGGAGACATATCATAAGTTGGCCATGTAAAACTGTGATAATGACAGAAGGCTATGAATGAGCCACACACACACAAAAACCCCTCCTCTTAGAGTTGGCTGTTAGTGTGAAGAAGCTGAGCGCATGTAAGGGAAGGTTTCAAGTTTAAAAACAGTTTGATTCACTTTAGTTCCACTCCAATCAGCTCATTTCAGGCTTAATCACTGTGGAGAGAAGGCATTTTAGTTAGACAGTTGAACAGACTGTGCAGCAAGACTACCATGGATTGGACATCATGACTGTTCTCATGACAACTTATTTGTCTCTCTGGCAAAGTACATGCAATTTAATTATATAAAGCTAATTTATGTTTAGTTTTATAGTTGTTATAATTGAAATGTTTTGATGTGTAACTCATTATTATCATCATTATTACTATTATTGTCATTTTTGTTGTTATGGTTGTGATAATTATCATGCCTCATCTTAACTCTGATGATCACATTATTTATATCTGGTGACTGGTATATCTGTAATGCTTTTATGCACACTCACAAAAACCGATGTTCCCAATCCAGTGCAGCCTTTCATCCTATAATTTCCATTTTTAATGCCACGCTTCCTCCAGACTTCACTCTGTCCTCAGAATAACCTTTTTTTTTTGCCTGTTGTGTTTTCCCTGTTGTGCAAGTTTTTTTAGGTTCCACCTCCATCGCTGACCTGAGGGGTGAATTATTAATACCCCAGTGTGTCCCTACAGGCCGGGTGGTGCTTGTACTAAAACAGCATGACTTGGCAGAGCGGGGTAAAACAGCACCCAGCTCGCCTGCCCAAGCGGCATTTATTGAAACAAAATATACACACACGGACACAGGCAGCACGTGCCTCTGCACAAATATGCACATGCTGTCGAACGCAAACAGTGTAAGCAGGTGCGTGCTTATCTGCACACGAGACAATCATGTATGTAAACCGACACACATGGATACACACAAGACGGATCTTTAAATGCAGTGCTTTGAGCTTCGCTAAAGGAAATCTACATAAGATATACAAAAGAAAGAAGTTGGTAGTGATGCACCGATTTTTAAACTCTGGATAGCTACTGATGTATAAAAAAAATTGTCGAAGAGCTGATACCAATGGTTTATTTGGTCTTGTCATTTACTTTGTTTTTTTTTGTGTTGTTTATTGCCCCTTTTTGCTTTTTAGTCTGTGCAAAAAAAAAAAAAAAAAATTGGCCACTACCATCACTGAGCATCATTTTATTTGCTGTTAGGCCAGTCAACAAGGATAATACCTGCCGATACTGATGTGTGGCCGATAAATCGGTGCATCCCTCATTGCTGTATATGTAATTAGACCTAAGCCTGTTAAAAAAAGAGTCCAGCAAGTGTGGATGGCTTGTGTATGTGTGTGTGTGTGTGTGTGTGTGTGTGTGTGTGTGTGTGTGTGTGTGTGTGTGTGTGCCTGCCCATCACAGACAGGTTGTGGCACCATGTGGCCCCTTGAGGTCAACTGACATCAACATAACAGATAGACAGAGGGGTCATCACTGCTTCTCCTGTATGCATATGTGCATGTGTGTGTGTGTGTGTGTGTGTGTGTGAGAAAGAGAGTGCATGTGTGTGTTTCTCTCAGGCTTGTGACCAAGGATTGATTGAGTGGAACAGAAAGGAGAGAGAGTGGGAGATTTTGCTCAGTTCAGTGATCGCGAAGTTCATCTTTCCTCGACTGCACACTATGAACTTCAAAAGATGTCAAGTTCTACACTGCTATGTAAAGTCAACTTGCCCTAAAAATAATAATAGAAATGACAGGAATAATACTAATAATAATGCTAACAATCTTGTGCTTTTTTATACTGGCAAACCATGGATTATTTCCATCACATTCCACTATTCAGTGGTTCACTGGATCCTTAGTTGCACTTTAAATGTCCAGTCGAGGGAGTCTTGTTACATGGTCATTCATCACATCTAAAAACACGACAAACTGTACGGCCACATCACAGACAACACACATACAGACATTTGTACACACACAACAACAGCACAACCTCTTACCCGCTCAACACCCCCAGAACGAGATTGAGAACGAAAAAGGAGCCGAAGATGACGAGAGAGACAAAATAGACCCATGGCAGCTCATAGCCCATAGCATCCTGCATCTGAGAGAGAGAAAAGACATAGGAGAGAGGGAGAAGGAGACGAAGGGGTGGAGGATAAGAGGGGCGAAGACAATGGGGGAGGAAGAGGACATGTGGGAGAAAACAGTTTGAGAAGGTTGACACAGGACGAAGAAATGAATGAGAGGGGGCAGCAGAGGTAAAGGACAGGAAGTGTGTTAGAGAGAAGGTGACAGGAAGGAAAGAAGAAAAGAGCAGTGCATGTTAAAAAGAGCAGTAGAAAGACCTGGCAAAGCAAGAGTGGCAGTGCTGTATGATTAAGTATGTGTGTATAACCTGACACTCCACAATTAAAGCTCCCCTCCAGACATGTTTTAAAGCATGTATAAATACTCTCCTATAATTAATAATTTGTTTGATATCGTTTTCCCACATAAAAAGTACAAAAAAGGAGGTTGGAAGGAGATCTACTCTTTCTCCATCATTGAAAAATTCTAGATCTAGCTTCCACCCCGCTTGTGCAAGGTTAACAAGTGAAAGAGCAGTGCACATCAAGGGGTGGGCGATATGAAAAAAATTTCGTTTGGATCCCATACTAAGTAATACAGGGCCACAATCACTGATATCGATACTGATACCTTTTATTTTAAAGATATTTTTTGGGCGTTTTAGCCTTAAATTGATAGGACAGCTTAAGTGTGAAGGGAGGAGAGAGAGAGGGAAGGACATGCAGCAAAGGGCCACAGGCTGGAGTCGAACCCAGGCCGCAGTCGAACCCAGGCTGCTGCGGCAACAGCCTTGTACATGGGGCGCCTGCTCTACCACTAAGCCACCGACACCCGATACTGGTACTTTTTATTATTAAAAAGGCATTTCCCTCCTCTCTGCTTTCCCGGTTCTCTTTCTCATGTTTTTCCTCTTTCATTCAGCCATCACTGCAATTATGTGACAGATTATGCTATTCAGGGTGCACGACTCGTATGTTGTGTGAATGCACACAACAGTGAAGGTACAACATAGAAGAGAGAAATCTTGATTACGACAACTTGACATTAATCAAAGTGACATTACTAGAAGTTGTCTTTGTCATGACAAGTTGGGATATCCTGGGGTGTCCTGACAACTTGACATTAACATAAAAATATTTTCTGGTAATGTCATCCTGGTTAATGTCAAGTTGTCATTATAAGGACATCCCAAACAAATTTAATGTCAACTTGTCATGACAAAGACAACTTCTGGTAATGTCACTTTGATTAATGTCAAGTTGTCATAATCAAGACAACCCAAACAATGTCAACTTGTCATTACAAAAACCGAATGACACTTAATGACAGCAGTCATAAACGTTTATGACATGTACATAATGTCCATGACAGGTTCATGACCGTGTCATGTCACAATTACGTATGACAGTGTCATGTCACTCTTATGTAGATACCTTCAAGTAAAGTGTTACCACATCTTTTATTGGGTTATGTATTTTGTTAGCTTGTAGACTAATGGGCTGACAGTGTTAATGATTGTGAATATAATCATATCTGCTTCAGTGAGGTTTCTGGTAGAAAGTGGAAGGAAGCTCCAGGCTCTGGTCTACATCATCTGCACACGCTAACATGTTTACTGTCAAAAATTTCACCATGCTAATGCTAACTCACACACTCTGATGAAGGTCTCAGGTTTTCTAGTCAATGTTGGGTCAAAGTTTGTTCCCCTGTCGATATGTGTTTTCGTTATTAGACAGAAATTGGCTTGAAGCCTTGATTTTAGGTAAGTGCACAGACATCGCCCCCTTCAGTAGAGGAATGTGAAACACCTCTCAAGTGACAAACTGCTCAGATACAAGTCAGTATAGCCAAGGTCAGACATTTTAGGGGACACAGACATAAGAAAACCCATTTTGGGAGGAGGGGGACTTTAACTTAGCTCTTATTTACAGCATGTTTACACAGTTACACATCCCTTGAGGAAACTTTTCTTGGAAAGGTGGATGTGCCTTTACGGGAAACACATTTAGATGCTGTGACTCTACATTTGTCCATATAAACCAATTATATTCTGTTTTAGAGGATTTACAGCATGTGACACTTAAAAATCCAAGTGGAATCAATAAAGATGACTTGTTTCAGGAAATTCAGTTGCAGGGAAATGTGCCACACACTCATCTGGATATTGTATTAAGGATTGCTTGAACAGAGACAGATCTTTTTTGGGGCTGATGTAAATGGGAGATGATGTGGACAAGGTGACGTCTAAGCAGTTTAGTATCCGAGGACCCCATGTGAACAGAAATGTCAGATTAATTATCTGCATGTAAATTCAACTGATGAGCCTTTAAAAGACAATAATAAGAAACAATTAAGTGTGAAGTTGAATACTCCCAATTCTGTCAACTTAAGAGCTGTCACTGTAGCATGGAGACATGTTGGACAGAGCGAGACAAAAAGGGAGATAAAGGAAAAGAGGAGAGACAGAGGGTTTGTTCGCTACGACAGCAGCAGATGTTGGATGTCATTAATCTATATTCACAAAAATCGGAGACAGTGAAACTATGGAAATGCATGGCTGAAACCTAATGAAAGGCTCGGTCCTGTCTAAATGTTTTTCTATAATCATTTGTACCCCAAACAAATAGGTCCCATTCATTATAACGAAAGCCAGCTACACAAGCGCTCTCATAAGAAGCGAACTGTGCGATGTAATTTTTGTTTTGTTTATGTGTGTGTAGGAAGTTGCAGCAGAGAGGAGAGTTGCAGGAGGGGTGTAGAGCTAGTAAGCTCCCTGCTCCTTGTGTATACATGCACTCAAAGACAAACAACTCACACACACACAGCCACACACACATATATGCCAGCTGGTATGTATAGTAGGATCCCACACCCACACAAAATTGAACAATTTACTGTAGACAGTCCATTTTGTCACCTAACTGAGATAAGGTTAGATGAAAACGTCAACTTTCCATTAAACTTCTTCACCAGTGTAACAGTTCAGTTCATTACATTTCTTAAAGGTCTAGTGTGTAGGATTTAGAGACATTTACCCAAGTGTGTAGGAGAACTTCAGTGGCCAGCTCAAAAACGCGAAAACGAATGGCCCTATCTCGAGCCAGTGTTTGATTTGTTCATTTTGGGCTACTTTAGAACACCACCACTAACTCAGTTGAAGAGCATCTGCTCCGTATGTACATATAAATGGCTCACTTTAAGGTAGTGACAAAACAATGATTCTTATTTTTAGGTGATTATAAACTAATTTAAACTTAGTAATGAGTATCACACAAAAATGTCTGCAAATAGATGCCCCAAAATCCTACACACTGGACCTTTAAGATGGTTAGTAATCTGATACAGTGGAAACCTCTTATCGTGATCACGTCTGTCTGGGTGAAATTGATCACTGTAAAAAGATGATTATGATAATTATTATCATAACCACTTTTTTTTTTATTTCTCATGCAAATTATCATCTAATTGACATTTGTATTTTAATTGCATGAATATAAAGTAATGAAACAGGCAGCTTTGCTATTTACTAAGTTTTACTGACTGTCTCAAAATACAGTCCACTTGACGATTGCGGCTTCAACTACTGGAGCTTTTCCTGTGTGCATTTGTTTTCTGTCTCCATCATAAGTAGCCATTATACGTGAAGACTATGTTTCTCATTGACGGAAAATGACTGTTTCTTTCCCGCCATAATTTCAGTGTGCACACAGCACCAGCCTTAGGTAGCCAGCTGGAGGCAGACAGGTTACAGCGAGGCAAAGTATTATAAGAGTTAAGTTAAAAAAAAAATAAAATTACAATACTTTTAAAGTGTTTTTCCACGTGTTGTCATGTGAGAAAAGTCCTAAAATTAACATTGTAAGCAAATTTATCTAAACAGTATTTGTATAGGAATGATTCTGCCAAAAACATTTTGATCCATGAAAGTGGTTGATCACTGTAACCGTGATCACTGTAAGCGGTTTCCACTGTATTTCATTTATTCATTGCTTTAATATTCTGATAGCTAGCCGCGGTGTGTGCCTCTCGTGTATTATTCTAGTCACAGAGCTTAAAATTAGTTTCTTTGAAAGCTAAATAACAGGAAAAATTGCAAAAACCTAGACTGTCATTTACCATCTCTTAACACTGTTTTGAAGCTATTTACAAACTCCTCTTTCAATCTGAATTAAAACTAACCTGTCCACTGCATTAACATTTCTTTCAAACAAAAACTGAAGTTGAAAGTGATCTACTGTATCCCACTGCTGGACTGTCAACATGAACATTTTTATTGTCAGATATATCTATAGTAAACTATGGCTGCCCCTGAAAGTCGGAGATTTGAATCATCAGTTGGAGACCCCTTAATTGACTGAGATTTCATCAAGCCATTTTTTTTTGTCAGTGAGTGTGCAGTGTAGTTCAGGGGATGTTTCAGTCCCCACATTTTGCTGAATAGTAACTCATTAGTAGAGGCAGCTGCATAGATGGATGCAGCTGCCTGGAGGAAGAGAGACCTTGCCTGGTCAGGCTCAGAGATAACGTTATCTTCTGCCTTCTACGTAGAGATGGTGAATTTACAGCTCAGAGCAACTTAATATGATTGAGTCTTTGGCTTTTGTTGATAAATAGTGTTGGCAAAAAATGTTGTTGCACAGTTCCAATTCATCGTTCATCGCATAGTTAGCTTGTTCACTATATTAAGTGAATGCTGCTGTCACACTGAATGCCCCGCAGAACCCAGTTCAAATTTTCTAACTTTTTATATATATATATATATATATATATGTATATATATATATGAAAAGTTGAATATTCATATTGGACAACAAAATGAGATTTGACTGGCATAATTTTGAGCTGGGTACAACCCTACAGTACACTTATTTTTATAAGAATAATTATTATTATTATTTGTACAATAAGCACACAACAAGGAAGGACATATGCTACTTCTGGCTGCTCTCTTTTTTTGGGTCAGAAATTATAGTCAACAGATAGAGGACAAAAGTATTTATTGTGCAGTGGACTGAATATTTCATCCAGATAGACAGAGGAGTCTTTTAGTATCCTGGAAAGTAAATACTGTCATAAATGCATTAAGTGTTGTTCAACAACCTTCTGAGATCACATCGTCGCTTAAATTTCAGAGAAATGGCTGCTTAGCTCTGTGACCTGAATATAATGAAGGTACATTAGAGGCGCAAATCGCGGCTATCATGTTCCATCAGGTAAATGGGAGATGACACAATTTCATTAAATTGTAGCAGTTAATGCAGAAATTCAGTTAAAAAGTCGTGTTTTGAAAAATCCAAGAACATGTACTCATCTGTGCCACATGAGTGCTCTGCAGCGGTCAAACAAACTGCAGAGTGCAGACATTTAGAGGACCTTTCAGTAACTGTAATCTTCCCCGCTCTCTGAGTTAAACAGGGCAGTGCAGTGGAGGCAACATCACACAACAACTCTAATTACAGTTTGAGAAAACACATGGGTACATGTTAATGTAATTTAAGGTGGAGCTTCATGACGTTTTAGCCCTTAACACCCATGATCAATAACATCATAATCTGTGTGTTAAGCTGTTCCTCCAGAGGTATAGATTAAATGCTTTCTCAAGAAGGCAGACGTGGGAGTTTGATCGAAGCTTCCCGATCACTGATTGACATCACAGACTAATCTATTGGTTTATTTAGCTGAACATGGCTGTTGCATGCTTTTGACCATTTATTGTTTGTTCATATGCCTCATTGGCTGTTTGCGTAGTGTGTGTGTGTGTGTGTGTGTGTGTGTGTGTGTTATTCACTTGACGCTTGACTCAAGCATCGGGATTCAACACACGTTCCAAATGAATTGGCCTACAATTATACAGTGTATTGTCTGCATCGATTTAGCCTCAGATATGAGCCAATATACACATCCAGATGCACACACAACCTGTGTGTGTGTGTGTCTCTTTGAACAATCTTTGTGTGCATACCTGCCTCTCTGAGAGAAGTGTTTGTTTTATTGCTTTATATTCTTTCTTTTTTTTTTTCAAAAGCACTTATGTGGCACTGATGTTACAGATACAGAACAGAGGCTACACACACCGAGCAGTATGGCACTCACTCCACACACACATACACTCACACACATGCTTAACAACACTGTTGTGGTGTCCGGCTCACCCAGTACAACACGTCCGTCCAGCCCTCCATGGTTATACACTGGAACACGGTCAACATGGCGAAGGCAAAGTTGTCAAAGTTGGTGATGCCGTCGTTTGGGCCCTCCCATCCCATTCTGCACTCTGTTTCATTTTGGTTACAGTGTCGACCGTAAGCTAAGTCTGGTGCACACGGTGCCGGCTTGTCTCCCACAATGGCGCCTGTGACAAATGTGGCAGGGGGAAGAAAAAGGTTATACTGTGTGCTACCTATGGCCCTGGATCAGAAAGTAAACTGATGCAAACTGATATAAAATAAGTATAGTAAAGCAATAGCTCCAGTCCTTGATTAACTGAGCTGAATTCAAAGCTGTTGTAAATAGAATTAGTCACCTGTTACCATACAGGAGGCAGAGCTAAAGTGGGCAACCGCTAAATGAAGCCCAAATCATTTATCGTCCACGAGCATGAAAACATTCAGAGGTAAGGAACTCTGTCAGTCAATGAATGCTGCATTGTTGTATTTATATGTAGCCTATAATGCTCATTTTTCTCGAGCTACGTTCTTAATTGCTAGCGATATAATTTATTAAAGTGTAGCTTTGTTAGTGAGCAAGTAACTGGGCTACACTGGAACAACAAAAATATCCTGGCAAGTGACAACAGCTCAGCACAAGTGAGCATAATAGTTACAGATAGTAGATAAATAGTGGTTTTAATGTAACTGCAACATGATGAGAACTTTTACTAGAGCCCATGAGGGTGGACTTCTCTGGCTTTGTGTTGCCACAGATCATAGTGTGATTATTTTGAACAATACTGCAAATGCGGTATGAGTGGAGATGTTGTTGGGGATGGTAATTTTTGCAATTTATTAAAAATAAAAAAAAATATATATAAATGATGATAATGTGATTTTTGCTAGGGTCTGTACTAAAAGCATGCTCCCTTCCCTTCTGGAATATGCCTTGTGGACTGGGGCATCTCTGTAGCACCACAATGCCTTGATTATAATGGTGTGCTGTGAAACATTTTACCTTTATCAAAAAAACTGAAGCTCCTGCGATTTGGATATTACACTTGGCCATTTGTGATTTTGACAATATTATGATAAATTGTGCGGCACTCTTTGTTAAGCAGCTGGCACTTTCCACTGCGCCTGTGTGTTGCTTGGACACCATTCTTTTTTACCCCAACTTTATACATTTCAACGACCATAAACAAAAAAATACACATACAAACATACCAGTATGTGTATGTATACAGAAAATTGTGTTTTTATGCATGCAGGCTTGTACCTTTGACTTTTTTAGAGATATCTTCTAACATTGTTGTACAAACAATTCCACTGTAATAGTTTCATGCTCATCTAACCATTCAAATTAGTCTAACTGTAAATTACCTTATGCTGTCTATGCAGAAAAATGACACAGACTCCTACTTCAAGAAGAAGTACAAAATAACTGCCATTATGCTGTCCGGAAAAATAATTCATGTTAAAGAAAAAACAACATCTACAAAGACGGTTAAAAAGGACAAATTGAAATAAAACCAAACACAACAGCCATAACAAAAAAATCAATGTGAAAAAGTCTTTTACTAATTATACAAAACAAGCTCTTGAGGGTGATGTATGGAATAACAGAGTATTCCAACAGCACTTACCCAGTGCACAGCTAATGCTTCCCATGGGACCTATAACATCACCATAACAACACTTAAGTCCATTTATACCTAGGGGCCTTTACTGAAAATTGTTTCAATCATTTATGGTGGCTGCTGTTTCAATTACTGCCCAAATTATTCATACTCAGAAAAGTAAATGAAGGTTTAAATAATGAATGGGGGTTATTTAGAGTGTTTAAGGTTTATGCTCTATTTCCTCCCCACTTTGTTGGGCTGAGAGGTGATGTCTTACTGTCAGTTGAAAAGGTTTGTGTGGTACAGTATTCACCTGCGTGTCTATCTGTGGAGCTGAAATGTGAATATATAGTTACTGAAGCATGCTTTCACACACAGTTGAATACGTGCTTATCTGGGCACTGAAGTGCGGTATGAGAGTGTATGTGTTTGATCATGCATGTTTGTATTTGCATCTGTCCATCAGCGTATACCAGTCGAGATATTCTCTCCCCCTCTGTCTCTCTCTCTCTCTCTCTCTCTCTCTCTCTCTCTCTCTCTGTACCTGTGTGCTTGTGAGTGCAGGTCTTGTGCATCTTGCCCATGAAGAGCTCCAGGCCGATGATGGCATAGATGATGATGACAAAGAGGACCAGCAGGGCGATATGGAGCAGAGGAACCATGGCTTTGATTATGGAGTTCAACACTACCTGTAAACCTGCAGCACACACACACAGATAAACTGCTGAGAACATGTAAAAATTGGTATGGGAAAAAATAGTATTGAAACAGACAGTTACAATAATGCTACTTATAAAAACCTACTGTCAAATAAAAGCACTGGAAGCACATCATATAGCAGAACAGTTACAATTAATCACCATGTACGCACTCAAACTGACTCTTATATTTGTTCTATAGCTTTAATATTCTTTCTGCATGTGATCACCCACTTAGAGAGCGCCTTCAATATGTTTCTGAGAAAAAATGTGCAGAGCATGGTGGTTATGAAATAGAACTTGTTTGATACAACTTTCCAGTTAATTTGCTGAATGCTTTGATGGATAAAGGCTCAGAATAATGCATACTAATAACTCATAATAACGCTTTTAGGAACACATTCTGGTGAGGCGTCTTATTAGTAGGAAAGTAAGTAAAATGTTTTGGTTTAAGTTTGTAGGATGAAATGTGGGTTTATTGATTTGATTAATTTGTTAAAATGCATGCAGCTGTAACCACTGACTTAGGGTGTTAACAAAGTGCTTTTGAAACAAACCAAACTCAGTCACCGAGACATGCTAAACAGACAGTGGCGACTGAGGCCGGTCGTTGGCCGCTTCATATCTCCTGTGTCTTGGCCAGAAAGTTGCGCCGAAACACACCACGAAGACTACAGTCAATGGCCAACTGGCATGTGTTTCTGTGCCTGCGTGAGAGAAAATAACTCTCCATACCAGCAGGTGGCAGTATTCTGTACTCATCATTCAAACAGGGACACTGGAAGACCAAAAGAACAGATTCAAGACTTTATTAAGCCTGTTAACGACACAACCCGATGCTGAAAGAACAAATTATATTTTTTGTGCACTTGTGAACAATAACAGACAATTACAAACCATTTCTGCTAAGGAGCTCAGTGGCTACAAACTATAAATAATCTTATCTAGTATCATACATTTGTTTTGATCTCACACTCTCAACTTTAGCATTTGTTTGCTTTCCTCTCTTTCGTTTCATTGCTCGTGCATGAGCTGAACTACCAATTGGGGCGATTTCATTCATGGATGGGCTTAAATGCTGATTAAGCACTCCGAGTTAATTAGGAGGGCTGAAAGGGACCATGTTTAAAAACCCTTAGCTCTATGCTAGATATATGCAGTAACTATGAACTGCGAATTTTGCATACTACTTCATATTTAACAACCTGGTCTCAATCCCAATTCCAATGCCTGGTCAGTGGCCCTTGGTGTGAGATAGCTACCCATCGAAGCACCCTTTGACTGCATTATGAGATGCACCAGGCGGTGGCACTTTTTGAAGCTTAGAGCAACTGCCATAGTAGAAGGGCGCTTTGGGGTTGCATTTTTGATGTATGAAAGGCGCTATATAAATAAAGTTTGATTGATTGATTGATTGATTGATTGATTGAAGGGCAAAAACCATTCACATAGGTGGGTGTGAGGGGAGGTGGATTTATTTATTTATTTATCAAAAGGATCCCCATTAGCTGCCACCTAGGTGATGAGCTAGTCTTCCTGGGGTCCAAAACAGATAAAAAACATAACATATATAACATTATCAAAAATGCATGTACATTCATGGATTACATTACATATACATTAGCAGATCATTATACATTATACATTACATTATTACAAATAAATACATTATGAAAGACCACATTTAGCTCAGCAGATAGAACATCATTTAGTTCTCCAATAGTCTTTGCAGCATAATACAATGCAGAGTCATCCGCATACATTTGTACAGTAGCTTTACACACAACAGATGGCAGGTCGTTTGTGAAGATGGAATGTAAGAGTGGTCCGAGGTAGCTCCCCTGTGGGACCCCACAGTCCAGCCCTTTGGAGTTGGACCAGCTGCCGTTGTAATAAACCCTCTGTGTCCTATTTGAGAGATAACTCTTCATAAATAAGTTGGCGGTTGGACTGATTCCATAACATTTTAGTTCCCATTTAGAAGATCGTAATCTATGACATCAAATGCTGCACTAAAATCCAGTAATACTGCACCAGTCATCTTAGAATTATCCATCTCCTTAAACCAGTCATCTGTCATTTCTGTAAGGGCAGAACAAGTGGAGAAATTAAGTCTATAAGCATGTTAAGATCTTGTATTCAAACCATTACAGTCAAAGTAATCCTGTATTTGTGAGTGGACTATTCTCTCCATCAGTTTACTGAGTACTGGAAGAATAGCGATGGGTCTGCTGTTCTTCCCGGTAAGTGCTAGTCTGCCATCTTTAGGTAATGGAATTATTTTGCCTTCTTTCCAAATGGTGGGATATATACCCTGCACCAAACAGCTATTTAATATGTGACATATGGGACCATAGATATAGTCAGCTGCAAGACCAAGCACCTTACTATCTAGCATGTCAGAACCCACTGAGCTGTGTTCAGGAAGGGCCTTCAACATTCTTCCTTACCTCCCTCTCATCCACACTATTGAACTGAAAAGTGCAGCTCTTACTAAGCATTATATTTTTTCTTATGAGTACTGGAATCCACATTGCCCATGTTCTGCCTCAATACAGTGACCTTGTTTATAAAGAAATCATTAAAATAATCGGCTACATATATATGGTGTAGTTATAAACCTGCCCTCCGATTCCATAAAAGAAGCTCCACCAGTTACCTTTCTCCCCAATATTTCATTTTGAGCTCTCCAGAGCTCTCTCCCAACTTGCTTTACAACATTTATTCTTTGCTTATAATATTCTTTTTTCATTGTTTTATTCACATTTGTAACTTGGTTTCTCAATTGACAATACCTTAATCTGTTTTCCACTGTACCACACTTTACTAATATAGATTTGGCTTTGTCTCCAACCAAAAACTCTGGTTGGTTGCAAAATCATTTGCGACAGGTTACAAGCATTGATTAATGATACCATCTTCTGTTTCACTGGGCATTGATTTGCAAGCCAGTCTATGTTCATATCCCCGAGTAACAAAATGTCACCATTCACATCTGCAGCTCTGTCAATCAACTCACACAAGTCATTCAGGTATTGAATATCAGTTCCAGGAGGTCTGTAGCAGCAACCTATCAAAATTGGCTTAAGGTGAGGAAGATGTACTCTAACCCATAAAGATTCTAAATTATTTGGCATGAGCTCAGCACACAAAGTTGCAGGAAAATGGTTACTGATAAATATTGCTGTGCCACCTCCATGCTCATTTCTATCCCTCCTAAAAATATTGTAGCCATCAATGGATACCTCTGCATCAAGTACAATAACATCCAGGTGGGTCTCAGACATGGTGAAGATGTGAATTGTGTTCTCTTTGGTCAAGTAGTTCAGCTCATACATCTTATTTCTTGCACTGCAGACATTCAAATGGGCCATCACAAGGCCCTTAATAGACATGTTGAATTTCATAGTTTGAGATGTCTTAGATTCATGTAGTTATTACAAAGTATGATATTCAGCTGTTTACAAGAGATCATGGGAATAATAAAAAACTGAAAGAGTTTATTAGTCATGGCCAGTATTGTCTTCAAAATATTCATCAGCAGTTGAAATGGTTCATAGAGTGGTCCTACCTTCATAGGTCCCTGCAGGCATGGGTCATACAGTCATTGAACCTGTCCAGTGTGTTGAGCTGAACCATTCAGCTTTATGAACACCCTACAGTTTGCAGTCCATGTTGATTGGATCTTGTTCTCTTTTCTCAGGAGGCGTGCTCTCCTGGCTATGTCACCATTCTTCTTTGTCAGATGTTCATTCACATACACATTGGTTCCCTTCAGTTTTCTTCCTTTCTTTCTTGTTTCCTGTTCACAAAGCAAACTATTATGGCAGGTTTCTCACTTACATTCTTCCGGGGAAGAGTGGTGTAGTCCTTTCAAATGCAAAGCAATGCCAACGGATGAGGAAAGTCTTTGCTGCTCAGACTGCGAATTGGCGATGCCTGCACTTGAGAATCTGGACATCAGTACTGACGAGACTGCTGCTCTTCAGAGACCATGCGTCACCGATCACCCTGAGCACGCACACGTGAACGCGGAGCACAGAGAAGCAGTCAGAGCTACAGGCTACAATGAGGCTAAAAACAGAGTTCATCTGACGTTTTTCGAAACAACGTTTTATGTCGGGGCTGCAGCACACTTGGATCACTACGAATGAGCAGTATGGAGATACTTTGTGGATTCAATTTTGTGTTCTTGGACGTTAGTCTGGGGCGCCGTCTGCCATTAGGTGTGCTAGCCGCTCCCCTGACCGATCTCCGCAAGGGATGTGAGGACTCTAAAACTTCACCAGGGCCTCCGTCGGCATATGGGTGAGTAGATAATGGCTGAATTTTCATTTTTGGGTGCACTATCCCTTTAAGTTGTAAAAAAAGGTATGGTTAAGAAATCTAGAATATATACCATATAAACAAAACAAGATCATTATTTTCGTTAATCCCACAACACATATGCAGCAATGTCACTGGAAGCCTTCAGAAAGACAAGTGTGTCAGTCAGTGTGTTAATCAGCTAGTAAACATGCAACTGATCAGTTGCCATGATACCAGGTCAACACGGCCCAGTGATGCTGGACAGGGTTCAGTCTAAATATTATGCACTGCAGCACTGGCGCTTTTAAGCCAAAGGACAAGAGTGTGGGATGTGCACAAGCATGATGTGCATTTGCCTGCTGTTGTAATCACAAGAGCTGTCACACACACACATACACACACACACACACACACACACACACACACACAGGTGCACACACACCTTTCTCCACGATATCTGATCTTTTCCTGTCTCCTGGCCTGTTGGATTATTGATTCTTTAGTCGCTGACACAGACAGGCTGACAGACAACTCATCTACTGCTCGTACTGTCTGAGTATCTGACAAGAGGACAAGAGGACTCTTTGTGGGAGCACGTGTGTGTGCATTTATGTGTCACTGTGTGTGTATGTGTGGCATCAAGCGGCAATATCATCTCCAATCTTTGCTTCATTTCTCTCCCATCTCACCCAATCATCATTCACACCTGATCCCCAGAGTGTCGTCTTTGACTCTCTTTCTTTTCTTGTCGTTCTTTCATTCTGTCAGTCTTTCTTCCACAGCTCTCAGTACTTACTGGGTACTCCAGAGACCAGTCTGAGGGGTCTGAGTACTCTGAATGCCCTCAGAGCCTTGACATCGAAGCCCGCCGCCTTCCCTCCAATAGGAGTGGCCCCGTCCCCCTTGGTGGCCTGCTCCAGGATCGCGCTGAATAACCTGCAAGACAGAAAGTAATGACTTCAATAACCATCATCGTCAGGTTGACATCCCATTTCCATATACTAGAGAATATCTGAGAGAGAGGAAAACAATAAAAGTGATACAGACATTCAGGGATGTATCACGGAGAGATGAATATCTGCGGCTGTTGTCATTATGGCCCTATTTTCTATTTCCTGTCGCCACTGTTGTCAATACTGAACTGAACAATCTACATCATCTTTATCATAATCTATAAAGCACCCAAAGTGATGTAAATTTAGACATCAGCCTAGTTTGGGACCAAAATTTTTAAAAGCAAGAGACATCTGCGTTGTTTCATTATCAAACGTACTGCCTGGAGAAAACACAACAGTAGAAAATAAAACAGCTTAATTAGTTAGCTCTCCAACACAACAATAGAAAGCATTTCATCTGTTCCCTCTGTCTTTCACAGATAAGGAAATGTGAGACGCTCGGCTTTAATGATTTGACAGTCAGCTCAACAGAACACTGAGCATGTCTGTAGTGAAGAGAGTCTCCAAAATGTGTTTATAAGTGACTGTGTGCTCACAGGACTGTCAGACTGGATATAACACACATTTACATTCTGCCATGTGAGATCACACAACCTCCCCTGTCTCTCTATGCTGTAATACATCTGGTACTTAAAGCAGATGGAAATACATAATAATTTAAGTTATCGTCCTCTATTAACAAGCTACATGTGTTTTTACACTTTTGCTTTTTGTTAGCGTTTAGCTTCTGTGAAATTCACTCAGATCTCTCAAACCAGGAGTGGCTCTCAACCTTCAGTGTAAGTATGGCCAGAAGTATGTGGACACTTCTGCTCATGTGCATTTGTGTCTGGTCTAGGGCTGTTTTTCATGGTTTAAGCTCCAGTTAAAGGAAATGCACAATGCTACTTAATGACACCAACCATTGGTTTCTAACCTGGCATTTTCAACCCCCCCAAAAGGGTCACAGAATGACCGATTAGGGTCATGACACGAATAACTGCAGGTGAAAGAAGAAGAAAGAAAGAAAGAAAGAAAGAAAGAAAGAAAGAAAGAAAAAACACCAGCATTTCTTTGCTGTCTTTCTTTTTTATAAATAAAAAAAAATAAAGTAAGTTCACTTTTTGCCTCTGCTGACAGCTCATCGACTTATCCAATCTGTGATGATGGGCTTTGATTTTTGTTTTAAAGGGTCTCAAGCCAAAAAGGTTGGGGGCCATTGTCATTTATCTATTTGGACAATAATAAGAAAATACATCATACATACACAGAAGTAATTTCACTGCCAGAGAGGAAGGAAGCCTGAACGGCTTACTCACAGTCCTCCCTAATTAAAATGACTAAAAAACAGACATTACTCACCAAAACAAAATAAGGGACAAACAAGGAACACACAGCACCGAGAATATCTATGTACAAACAAGAAAACAAACAAGTAAAAAAGGAAAGAAAAAAAAACAACAGAAAAACAAACCTAAAATAAGTAGATATGAATTACCAATAAGTGTGAAATATTCAATGATTTCCGCAACTGTAGACCTGTAAAGCTGATTAAAAAATGATGTTTTGATGTACGATAATAGAGGAAACAAAAATATTTTATTTGCCTGGTTGAATGTGAGTGATTGTCTGAGGATAAAATAAAAAAAATATTAAATGCATCTGTAATGTTTTGACACGATAGAGCCCTTGTGCACAAAGTGATGTCAAAAAACATTCTTTCTTTTTAGGGTAGAAGAACTCAGGATGAAATAAAACGGCGACTGTGCGCCAGGCCTTATCACACAACATCAGAGCCCAGCCTCACTTACACTCTTGTGTCTGAATGGGAGCAAATCCCTGCAGCCAGGTTCATTTTTTTTGTGAAAAAGCCTTCCAGAGTCAAAGAAAAGTGGAGGCTGTTATAGAAATTGAGATGTTCAACAACCACACAGGGGCGTAACGTTCAAGTGTCCACACACTTTTGACCATATTACACAACACATAGACAAAGTGAGCAGAAATACAAAATATTGCAAATATAATCTTCAATAAAAGGGCTAAATGGTGTTTATGCTGCTGCCTTTGTTGGCTATTATCCCCGATGAAATTATTTACAGACATCTCTTTGGATGTCAGCGGCTCACAAGCTCGAATTCATGTACGTCCAGCTGAGCTTATCACTCTCGCTTCTCTCCCTGTCTCTCTGAGATCCTTTAGAAAATCACCATACAATACCATTTTCCAGCTAGTGTGGCTCAAAGGCCAGTCAGCGGCACGTTAGTCATGGAGAATTATCAATTAGCGCAGATGAAATGGCCACTTGAAAAGACCTCTCAAAACATATCGCCCTCTCTCTCTCTCTCTCTCTCTCTCTCTCACTCCCTCGGCCTTTCTATTTTGCACCACCTCCCTCTCGATTTGATTCACTCGCTCCCTCCTTTGAAACAGAGTATGAAAAGCACGTCGAGGATCCACAGTTTTGCACCACCAGCATTTCGCCCAGCATGTTTTGCCGTGGTGGGGTGTTAAATGATAATTAGAGCCTTTGAGCGTAGCACCACATAATGGCTTGTGTACATCCACAGCTGAGGATAGTACAAGCTGTGTACATTCATAAAGATAACAGGGATGGTGTGGTTTCATAGTTGCGTAAACATCACAATGCAACTGAATTCATGTTTGACTAAGTATGAAATCAAAATAGGCCTGCAACTGGTTATTATCAATTATCTATTGATGTTTTATGACTTAATTTTAGCGTAATCTGCAAAATATGAATTACAGGGTTCAAACAGACATTACAAAATGATATTCAAGGAGTTTCAAGCACCTTTTAAGCACTATTTTTTCATTTCTAAGGATGTTACCCAAAGCAGATAGGGTAATTCATTTTTAAATTTCAAAAAAAAAAAAAAAGATGTGATCAATGTGACTTTTTTCAGTGACGGACTACTTATCACACTCTTTTTAGGCGTAACTGTATAAAATCCTCAGCAAACAGGACCATCTGAGCGCAAGGAAACAATGCCAGCTGGAACTTAAGTTTCACTTTCAGTTATTACAGCGGTGCGCTGCTGAAGAGAGGAAACAAATCACTGTGAAAAGAAAGGCTCATTAAGTCATGTTAAGTTTAGCCATGCTAACACAGGCCTGCTGGTTTTTGCTGGAGTTTTAAGAGTGGAGTGAAGTAAAAATAGACTATGATGTCGGGCGGGACATCAAAAAGGCGAGGAAGACAAGAGAGGAAGAGGTGAAATAAGAAACATCAGAATTTTAAAACAAATCCAACTGAGTGACTTCTGATTCAGAACAATTTCATTATAAAGACTTGATGAAAAAACACTATTATGTGGTTTTCGATTTTCAAGGACGTTTTAAGCACTTTGAGGGGATTATTTTCAAGGTATTCTAGTACTTGTTTCCCTCTAAAATGTAGCACTTCGAGCACCTTGTGTTAACCCTGTAGTAAGTGTTGAAAATGTTCCTATAGCCCAATGTCTTCTATTTGCTCTTTTTGCCTGACCGAATCAAACACCTAAAAATATTCATTTCCAATAAAACACACAAAGGCAGGAAATCTTTAAATTTGGGAGGCTGCCACTTGAAAGTTGCTTAGTTGACTGAGATTGCTTCAAGTTGAGCTGCTGTTCTTTTTTGCTAGTCAGAGTGCTGTGTTTTGGTCCCAAGATTTTTCTACAGAGTGAGCGCTCTTGACTTTTATACTTCTCTTTGGTACAGACAGCTCGAGACACTTTGCACTGTAAGACTCTGTTTTCACATTATTGTGGTGATTTAACAGCTCACTTAATACAACTTAATACGACTCAGTCTCTGGCTTTTGTTTGATTTCTAGTGTCAGCAAAAAATGTTGTACATTTCCGATTTGTCGTTTGCACAGTTAGCTTGTTTACTGTATGACATTAATGTTGCTGTCACACTTGCTGAGCCCATTCAAACTGAAAAATCTGATTCAATTTACATAATTCGGAGTCGGATACAGAGCTAATTCTTAATCACCTAAATGTTGCAGTGCTGATTTTCAATGCTTTATCGGCAAAATGTTTGCTGGCGGTTTCCTCTCTTTACTGTTCTTCTTTTGTGATGATCCTACAGCTATTTGTACCGTCAATACATCAAAAGTAGAGCAGCACAGGGAGGAAGAAGAGGAGGTGAGAGAAATGGAAATAGCTACCAGCACAAGAAGAGGAGAATAATATATGTGAGTAAAGAGAAGTGATGGTGAGAGGACACAGAGGTGAAGAAGAGGAGCTGCTGTATGTAAAGAAGAGAATAAAGAGAGTCTACATAATACCTTTTAACATTGTACACACACAGCCTGTTAGCTCACTGAACCTTCACTAATAAACTCTTAGGTATGTGTCAGCAAGAGTGTAGGCTCGAGCATCCGTGTGTACGCGCAAGTGTACATGTGTGCGTCCATGTGTGCGAGTGTTAGAGTGTGTGCCTGCGAGGCTGCTCAGCACCAGGTACAAGCTCTTTCACCCATATGGTGAACATTCCAGAGGGAGCGAACTCTGTCACTTCTCATCTACACACACACACACACACACACACACACACACACGGAGGCACAGACAAACACACACACACAGAGAGGCACAGAGTGGCTGGCAGTTTGGTACACACAGGCACAAAGACAATCACTCATTCATGCACACACACAGATATGGTGCTGTCACAGCTGAACATTTTCTAGATCTGTGTGTCCTCTCCAAGTGTGTGAAATGGAGGGAGTGTTTGTGTGTATTAGTGTTTCTCAACTTCATTAATAGATTTTTTTCCCACCGTGTCATTTCCATGACAAGTTCTTACATCCAAATGACAAAATAGGTCTAAGTCGAAGCCTGTCAAAACGACAAATTAAAGCTTTCCAGGAACATCTTACATTAACGTTTTCTAGCCTGCTACGACTGGAGCTCAGAAATAGTTAGGTGAGTAAACCTGTTTGACGGAGGTTAGGATTGTGATCATGGATTAAGATAAACCTCATGATCATCATGAGTGTTGGCAGGAAACTGGATGAGAACTCTGGTCTCTGTCTTTCAACAAAGACGTAATTCTGCCTTAAGGACAATATCTACGCAGCAGCGAGAGGTCACTTCCCTCAACACGTGTTTCTCTGGTGGATACCGTCTCTGTTATGGTGTCTTCTAATTGTTTTTTTTACTAGATTTCAGCTCATGCCTAAACTTTTATGTGACCAAATACATTTTTTTAAATGGTTAACATTGCTGTCGGTTGATCAATTTAGGACTTCACCTACATTCACGTGCATCTAATAGGATTTACACAACAGGAAGGCTCAAAGCAAACAGCACAATGACCAGAAATAAATTCATCTGTATCTCATCAACACCAGTTTTACAACAAACTTTGTCCATAGCAACAGTCTGTTATTCAAAGCAGCAGTCTCCACTCAGAAATAACACACCATAGAATAGACTGAAACCAGGATTTACAGCACAGATACACTCAATTAAAGCCTAATAGGAGACAAGTTTAGTATTGGCGCGGGCAGTGCTGCTGCTAATTGGCTAGCTCTGTTAGCTGTCACTGCACGAGCTAGCCTAGCACTAGTATATCACCTGCTGAGAAGTTGGCATGTTGCTCGTCCTCAGCAGTGGGCATCGACCTCCACTTCTTGCCCCTGCTTGTTAACGTTAATCTGCAGGTATCGGCCTGTTTGCAGCTTCAGCCATGAGTACTTTACTCCACCTTCTCGTTTTAAGCTCCTTTATCCAATTTATTTGTATTTCCATTCCACTTACTCCACTCTGTCTTGATTTCACTTTTTTCCTGCTTGACCTCTAGCATGACACAATGGACTGACCCATTTGAAGGATAGGGGGAGGTGAAACTGCCGGTACCACTGCACCTGCCTCACAGTATATGTAGGCTACTAGCAATTTTGGGAGCATGTAACCGCTAATCAGATGGGCTACTCCAACATTAAGAGGGCCCCAGCCAGCAAGTCTTTCACTTTTCTTTTTCACAAAAGTGTTTTGTTTTTTGTTTTTTTATTGTTGCTAGTGGCGACCTTGTAGCACACAAGGTGGGCCAACCCATCTGGCATTTGCCAGAATTGCCTGGTTACCGTGTGAAAGGGGATAATTTGGTCAATTCAGAAGAAAATGTATGCTTATTTAGTGCATGTGTAAGAGCAGAAGGTCTACATTGTGACAAAGGAAAATTTAAAAAGCCCTGGGTAAGTCTAGAGAGGCCAGTCAGGTTTAATCTCCCAAAACAGCAAGCACCAAAACCTCCTCAAGTGTCCTTGAGCGAGAAAGACACTGAACCCTGCCAACTCCGGAGCTGCAGCAGGTATCTGACCTTCTGACCTTACCTTGGCAGGGTTGCAAGGTAAAAGACAATTTCCTTGAAGGGATCAATACAGTATCGCTGCACATTAAATTATGCTGCGTCACAATAAAATCCATAATTGAAATAGAGACAGAAAGAGACAGAGAGGGAGAGAAAGAGAGAGGCAGACACAGAGAGTAGATAACAGCATAAGAGTGGTAAAGGTTGTGTTTATGCCAGGGGCACTGGCACCATGATGCCAGCCGATGGGGTGTGTGTGTGTGTGTGTGTGTGTGTGTGTGTGCGCGCGCGCGCGCGTGTGTGTGTGTGTGTGTGTGTGAGTGTGTGTCTTTGGGGTGAAGCCAACCATGTTCAGTTAGTGATGGCTAATGTGAGTGAACACTTGACTGGTGATGAACAAGACTCGCTGAGTGTGTATGTGTGTGTGTGTCGGTGCATTCACAGAACCTTCCTTCAGGCTGCTTTCTTGCGGTCTATCTCTCTTGTGCACAGACACACACAAACACACAGACACACAGACACATACACACACACACACACACAGACAAACACGGTCAATTAGACCATTTTTATAGCATTAATGTAACTGTCAGGTCCACTGGCTATTGTGGCATTACCCCCACACAACACTGTACACAAAGCACAGCTGGCAGGCAGGGCACACACACACACACACCCACCCACACCCACACACACACACACACACACACACGCATGCTCACAGGCACAGAGGGTTTAGCAGATGGGCTATGTTGCTGAGTTGCAGATAAAGAAAAACAGAGCAAAGCTTTGCTATCAGCATCTAACAAGCTAATCAGTTTAGGCTTCACCAATACACTGTAGGCCAAAGTTTACTGTGGCTTTAAATACAGATTCACTGTGAAGGAAGATTGTTTTATGGTCATACTTTTAAAAGTTCTTACGTATTGCAGAATTAACATCACATATTAATATCACATATAACAAAAGATAAGGATATTTTATAGGCAAACAAGACCACATCTTTCCTCAGTGAGCCTCTCGGAAATGTGCATTGTCAGGGATGGACGCTAATATTTTTAAGCACTGGCCGAGACACATTTCGGACAGCTCAAATCTAAATTTATATAAAAACAAAGGCCTGTGGAAGAGAAGATTTTAATGCAAATTGACACATCCTTCCTTATATATGGCACACTTCAATAAATGACATTAACATTAACAGGATAAAAATATCTCATAATGTAAAAATAGCTTATATGGTCTATATAACATATGGTATATTTTATTACAGTCTTGGTTCACAGTTTGTTGTTTCTTTGCTCTGTTATCATCTACAGTTATTAGTGGCATGATAAAAACACCATTAAAATAGTAACTTTTTGTGGCCCTGAGCCATTGAGCCATGGTTCACGTTAAACCTTGATTGAATCCAGCAAGCTGGATTTTGCGAATCTGTTAAATTACTTGAGGAAAAATTCAACAAAGCTTTAGTGAGTAAATGTAAGCTAAGAAAAGAGTAAGTGCAGTAGCTTTACTACAGCAATCAAAGGTGTTCATGGGAAATATGATCTTAATTTTGAAAGACAGTAATACTATGAGTACCTCTGGCATTAGACAGAGGCTGCCAATTGTCTTGGCTGTAGTTTCATTTGTTGACAGTTATTATACCAAGGTACTATGATTAATTTGCCAATGATGTGCTGATGTTTAAAAATGTGTCAGGTAGTGCTTTTACAAATCCTGGAAAGAGACTGTAAATTACAGCCACACAGGACTCGCTACCTTTGTCATTCCCTCCATTAGACAACACACATCCACTTGTGTCCACTCACCCTACGACTACGATGATGAAGTCCAGCAGATTCCAGCCGTTCCTCAGGTAGGCGTTGGGGTGGAAGAGCAGGCCGTAGGCTATTACCTTCAAGAATGCCTCCACCGTGAAAATGATGAGGAACAGATACTCCACACGCTCCTGTAGAGACACACAAACAAGACATATGTTTGTCTGACTGGGAGCATTGCAGATAGACTCAGTATGACATAGAGCAAGCATTAGAGACAGATAAACAAGACAATAGATGAAAGGGAGAGGAGAATGTAGAGAGGCTGCTGGTCCTAAAGTCTGTGGTAAGCTGAGTTTCACATGTGAGTTAATACTATGAACAAGACACAATAAACTTAGACACACCAATCGAGTGAGAGCGCACCAAAACTCCTAATCAAACTGTTTGCGGTAGAGCAATTGGCCATACCAAATCACTACGATATACTCACATTCATTCACAATAATGATATTTATTTATGCCCATGTCAACAGTGAAAGCCCTGCATGTGACTTGTGAGTACCAACAGAGCTAGTTTCTTACTCCTCTGAGTTTACCAGCCAGAACAAGATGTTCTGTTGCTGTTTATGTGGATTCTTGTGTGTGTGTGTGTGTGTGTGTGTGTGTGTGTGTGTGTGTGTGTTTGATTATTTATGCATGAACATGTATTTGTCTAACTTGTAATCGTGTACACAATCAAAGCATTTGGATTATTTAATCAGAGCGGCTCTCTTCCTGTCCTAAGAGGCTACCATCTGAAGACAGGAATGCACGCGTGTGTGCATGCCTACGCACACGCACATACGCACAAGCAACTCTCCTACTACAGAGTTCCTCGGAGATTGCTGCCATACTGATGACCCCTGCCTGAGGGGGTCCTGGGAAATGTCCTCAAATGGCCTCTAGACAGAGAGAAGAATTATCTAACTTTATGACCAGTATAAACTTCCAAGCAATTCATCATCCACCTAATCATCCGTCGTATCTGCTTCCTATTTTTTGTTAAGTTTGTAACTAAAATAAGATCAAGGCGAGCTCCTGTGTAAACAACACAAAGTATTCCGAAATATTCTCTAAATATGTGTTTATAATATATAAATATGTTCAGCTCCATCCATATATCTATCCATCCATCTTAGTCCCTGCTCCTCCTCCTGTTCCCACTGTTTTCCCATGGACATACACTCACAGAGGGCCAGAGGTTTGGGACAGCAGGCCAGCCAGGTCTCTAAAGACTCCCCATCCCTGGGAAGAACCAGCTGAACCTGAGGCTGAAGGGACACTGCTTTCATATGTGTCCAAGTTTACAAAAAAAAAAAAACAAAGAAAAGAAAAATCACAAACTGAAAGAGTTAGCAAAGAAACACCATGAAATGATGCAATCATAGTTGATGCAGTGATGGTAGTAGGCAATTTAATGTCATCAGAAATAATATCTGGTTTATTGACAAGCAGTTTTTTCACATACAAGGAATTTGCTTTGGTGATTTGGTCCAGGGCTTAAATTCCAGTGTGGGACTGTGGGTGTTACATGTTTTGAAATTGATTCCTGTAAATATAGCACTTATAGTATCTCACATAAGTGAGTACACTCCTCCCATTTCTGCAAATATTTCATTATATCTTTTCATGGGACAACACAATAGAAATGACACTTTGATTTAACTTAAAGTAGTCAGTGTACAGCTTGTATAGTAGCATAGATTTACCTTCCTCTGAAAATTACTCAAAACACAGCCATCAATATCTAAACAGCTGGCAACAGTGAACATGTCCAAATTGTGCCTCAAGTGTCTATATTTTGTGTGCCAACCATTATTATCTAGCACTGCCTTACCCCTTTTGGGCATGGACTTTACCAGAGCTCACAGGTTGCTTCAGGAATCCTCTCCCACTCCTCCATGATGACATCATGGAGCAGATGGATGTGAAGACACCTTGCGCTACCCCACCTTCAGCTTGAGGATGCCCAACAGGTGCACAGGTGAGTTTAGGGCTGGATACATACTTGGCCAGTCCATCACCTTCACCTTCAGCTTCATCAGCAAGGCAGTTGTCATCTACTAGGTGTGTTTTGGGTTATTATCATGTTGGAAAACTGCATTGCAGCTCAATTTCTGAAGAGGGGCGATCATGCTCTGCTTGGAATTCATGTTTCCCTAAATGAACCAAGCTCCCCAGAGCCGGCAGCACTCATGCAGCCCCAAACCATGATGCTGCCACAACTGAGCTGCAATGCAGTTTTCCAACATGATAATCCAACCCCCCTCCTACTATGTCTTAGAGAATCTAGCCTACATTTTTAAGATGCTTACTTTTAAAACTGAGTTGCTCAAATGATAGGTCTTCCACAGCTAGTAAAAAAAGTGCCATTAAAGTTAAGAGACCATGTTAGTGTTGGACAAGCTCATGTATACAGTGGCTGCATTAAGATTTGCTGTTAAGGCTGCTGTGAGTCGAAAGTGGGTCCAGCTAAACAAACAACCCTCTCAGCGTGGAGAAAGACTGTGTCAAACTACCATTAGCCCACCCGCGTACACACATACCCTGGGAATCAGTCATCCATGTCGCCACCGTTTTGACACGACAGCTGTGGTTTCACTGTCCCATTTGTAACTTCTGAGGACTGAGGGTTCGAGAAGGTGTTTATTTAAGTTGGATTTTCAGAGCGCTATCCTCTCAGCAGCTGACACCGCATTACAAAGTCTAGATGTTGATAAAAGAATCATCCTTTGATTTTGTGTTCTTAATGATGTGATTATCATATAAACTGTGATTTGGGAGTGCTTTTTTTTCTCACACTTAGAAATGCTCAAGGAGCTTGACAGTGGAGGGAATGGCATGAATTATAATACGGAGGATTTGCACAGTTTGAAAGACAGACAACTTGAAAGGCAAGTTGATTTTTAGGCCAAGGATTCTGCACCTGAATGGGCTGCTCAGAAAGCCGTCTTAAACTTGTTTTGCTACTCGTCTCTGTCGCTCTAACCTCCTCTCATTTCCATTCAGGTCCATCCGGTGTGCTTTATTGGCACAAAAGAATCCAGCTTAAAGATAAAGATCAAGGTTTTTCACATTAAATACCTGTCTTCTTTCTCTATCTGTGCGTCAGTTTCAGAGCCTGGATGGAGAATTGATTTTTTTTCTTTCTTTTTTTATATTCATCATTCGCACTGCAGACCCTCCACCACACACTGAGCATTAGCAGTCTATGCAGAAGTAATTAATCTCAAAAATGCACACACACATACACACATATTCTCCCTCTCAAACACACAAAAGCTCTCCATCACTCTCTCAAACACACACACACCCAGGCTGTGTATCTGCCGGTGACAGGCAGACAGTGCGGCGCTCAGAAGAATAAAACAGAGAAAAACATCTGGTAGGAACAGCTCAGCCTGACACACACACACACACAAACACAGATACACTTCTCTGCATCCTTTTCTTCCTTCCGTTCATACAGACCCATAAAGGGCAAAATCCATAAGGGGCACAACTAATCTGGTTAGTGACTGGAAAGAAATGAGAGAGAAAAGATGAGAGACTGAGCGAGAAGAGGAGGATGGATGAGAGGCAAAGACAGAAAGAGGAAGAGAGACAGACTAAAGAGACAGAATGACAGAAAGGTGAGTATGTGGGAGCAATAATTCAGTTAGCTGTGATAGGTCAACCAAACCACCTATCCATCAGCTAGGCCAATCAGATTACGGTATCGACATTCTACCATACAGCGGACAATGTTTCCATCCGCCATGACCTTCTGTGTATGTGTATGTGCTGCAAGACAGGATTAGCCATTAAGCTGTTTTGGAAAAAACCCAGAGACACATCATAGTCCAGAGTTTTTATGTTCTTTTTGTGCAGTTTTCAGTGATGACGAAGAAAAGAAAATAACCTTGCACCTTGCAGTTTATGTAATTTAATTTAGTTTTTAATGCTAAAATAAAAAAACAAAGCTTAACTTTCGTCATTCTGCACACTTGAACATTCGAAGCCACACGAGAATCTGACTTTCTCCTGCTTAGTCAGGAAACATTTCCGTACAACGATACAGTAACACGCTGCCGACATCCGGTGATGATTTATTCAGATGCAGCAACCACAGTGAGACTAAGTACAAGGGTCTGGAGTTGTGCACATTGCTAGTGTACGTCCTATTAGCAGGCTAATGACGCAACTGTGGTAAAGGAGGAGGAAAGACAAATTTAGTACAGTAAATGTTAGACAAACGAATTGAGAAAAACACACACACAAAGGGGAGATTCTGGTTTATTGAATTTACAGTTTAAGGCAAGTTAGATTTAAGCCTTTTAAGAGTTTTTTTTTTAATGCCACTTGGAATTAGATTGAAAGAAAGATGAAGGTACAACAGAACTGGGAAATACCTGGTGTTTGTTGGCAGGTTTTCTTGGCAATTTTGTCCTTCTCACTCTGCATGAGGGTTTCCACTGCCTTGATTCCTATTGTGCAGGGTTTGAAATTTTTTTTGCGTAAAATACCACAAGCCTCAAATGCATTGCTAAATGATGATTTGAGGTTTGCTGCGAAATCTTGGTTAAATAGCCAATTTTTTAAAATTAAATTCTAAATTCCCCATGTTGTCCAGGGGAAAAATGACAGTGAGTTGACAGACGGCCCTGAGCGTCCAGCTGGAAACAAAATATGAGTGTTGTTGGTTCTGCTATCCTGATCTTTGTGACTTTAGTGCAGGAGGCATCTGGTAAATTCTGTAAAATTAAATAAATTAATAAATGTTATCAAATATTTTGGCTTTTCACAATGCAATGTCAGAGAAAATGATTCATGAAATCTTGCTTCCCCTGTCTTCACATTTTTAATACATTGGAAGATTGTTCTTGGGCACTTTAATTCCAACTGAGGCCTTATTTTTAGATGAATTAATTCACTGCCTTTTAAGAGTTTTTAAGGATCTGCGGGACCCCATAACTTTTCCTACCTGTCATAAATACCTTGTACTAACCAAGAAAACTGCTATATCTGGTTACACTGCAACTTGCTAAAAAGAAGTCAGACTGAGCAGGAAATACAATGGTACAGATTTTTAACTAACTCCAAGACTGCCGGAATTTATATGGAAGAGAAACAAAGTATTCTACTGTTCAAAGAGAGATTATTATATTTT